TGGCGTGTCGAAGGCGGGAGCAGCGTGGGGCCTCCTCTTCCACGTGTGGTTTTGGCGGTGCGCAGGCTGCCTTGTGGCTATGCTGGCAGAAGGCACGTGAGGTGCTCCTGTTTGTACATGACAAGAGACCCTTCCTGCTCTTGGAAGGGAAAAAAAAAAACAGTTGAGTGCTTGATTTCACTTTACAGCGTGCAACTGCACAGCTTAGTTCCGTGAGTCAGAACTGGAAGGTAAATGTGCTGTTTATTCCGTTCAGACAACATCCGCTCAACTTGTTACCCTGTCTTCATTTTGGCTGCTTCGAGAACAAGGTTTGAGGCAGAACAGGGAGCTGGATGCTTCTCACTCCTGGACACCACAGCAAGTTTTCCACCAAGACCTCTGCTCATTTCAACTAAGGCTGAAGGTTTCATTGCTTGAAGAGGAAGGATTTTCTTTTTAACCAGGAGAAGGGATAGCTTTTCTTCCCTCTAGCATCACATCTGCTTAATGCACTTACCCAGCACTGCTTGTTAATAATTAAAAAGAAAGGTTCTGCGGCAACTTATAATGGATAATTGTACCCTACAGAGTCGATAAAGATGAACGGGTCGCAATTGCTACAGCGTTTAAAACCAGCAATTGGAGCAACATTCTGATTAAATGAGGGGATTGAAAATCGGATGTGCCATCCAGCAGCTGTGGAAGCCAGCCTCTGCCTTATCGAAAAACATCTTACGCAGCTTTACCTGACAAAACGTGCTGCTCAGGAGGAGAGAAAAAAAAATTACAAAGCCTGTGCTCAACTGCTAATGACAGAGGGAGATAACTGTGCCAGATGTCCGTATCTTGTTCTGGCATGATACCACAGCTATAACGAGCTGCATCTGTCGCTGTTTTAGGCCTGGCTCTCTTGGAGAAGTTTACCAACTCTTTTTGTGAGACAGAACCAAACCATCTAGGATGGAGCTCCTGTTCATAAATTTGACTTGAAGGTGGGCTGCTGTAAGTGTATGTGCAATCCCTCCCTTCCCACACAGGGATTCAGAATTGAAGACTAGCAGGGATTTGGTGGTTTGTTTTTATCAGGCCATAATTCTGCAGCTAGTTGGGATGGGGGAAGTCTCACTGTTTGGAAAATCACCTCTTCCTCTGCATCATGATTTAAGCTATTTTAAAAGCACGGTGTTCGAAAAAACTCCTATAATCGTCCCGAATACGCATAGCGTGTTGCTGATGTGGTGTCATATGGTATTTCTTCTCCTGTGCAGACACTACAGACCTTGGCTCGGGTGGAAGGGGCATTTCAGTGTCCTGCCAGCTGGCTAAGGCATAGCCCTACCTCTCGTGGCAAGGGAGGGGAGCCTTTCCAGGAAGGATGCTGCTTTTCCCCCATGATGTGAGCAGGGACCAGCCCAGCCCCAGCCCATCGGCATGGTCATCTTTACTCTGTGACCGCACCATGAGTAACTGCTCAGCCCATCAGTACACTGCACCACAGTTCCATGGAGTAGAGGCTGTGTAACCATCGTGCCAAGCACCCTGGGAGGCTGCATGCATATCCCCGCAGCGCAGTGGTTCATAAAAGTCTCACGGAGGCCACGGCTTGGAGAGCAGGGTAGAAACCTTGGGGCTGGCCAGCAGTTTAACCTGTGTGTTAGCCAAGGGCAGGAATCAAGGTACAGTTGGTTCATCAGCACTGGTCCTGTGCAGGTGCTGGGCACCTGGGACTGCCCAGGGCCAGCCCTCTGGTATACCTTGCTGTTGTAGTAACAACAGCCAACAACTGATGTTTAAAAAAAGGCTTTGTTAGGCAGAATATTTACTGAATGTTTAAAAAAAAAAATAAAAATGGGGCAACTCAGGCTAATGCTCTCAGACCACCCAATCCACCATCTCACACCCTGGTCCCACTTCGCATTTCAGATCACCCTCAAAGAGATGGACACCATTACCCTGTTGCGATGACCTTACTGCCACTGTTGTGCTGGGCTGAAAGACACCCCTGCCCTGCCAAACACCCCCAGCACTGCTCTACCTACCATTGTCCATTACCGACTGTTGTGGGCCTCCCAGCGAGAGCCATGGTGTTCCTCCCACCCCCCCACCACGTATCTTTTCCCCAGAACTGCATCCCAGCCTGGTGTAACGGCCAAGCCTTGCCAAGCAGTTAAGATATGTGTGTATTATTTTGCTGTAATTATCTACAGGCCTGTTTCTCTCGGAAGCAGACTGGATGCATGTGGGAGGGGATGGGGGATGGGACTATGGGGTGGGCCTTCGGCCTCAGCACTGTCTGTACAAGCCGCGTCTGTCGCATCCTGGGGAGGTGGGAAGGCTCAGGTCAGAGGGCTGATGCTGCTTCTCTCCCAGGTGTGGTTTTTTCCTTAAACTCTTCAACTTCTCCTTTACAACTAACTGTTAATTTGTTTGTAGGAGGGAGATTTGTTGGTCCCCCACTCATGCACACGTGCTCATACCTTTCAGCCGCCTCACTGGGACCAGAAATCCCTTTAAAAAAAATGAAAAATCTTGCCCAACCCAAAGCACGACAATACTTACATTCAAAAAAAACCCCAACCTGACATTATTATTGTCTGAAAAGGAACACGGGAGATGGGGGTGGATTTCTAGCGGTTCCCCAGCTTTGCCATCAGGCAGCTGCAGCTTTTATCATGTATTGATTTCTCCTGCTCGCCCACCGTAACACACATGCACGCACACACACACGACACATGTAACACATACCATGGGCTACAGCTCCCTGCCAGCGAGAAGCCAGCCAGGCACTTCTCACTGCACCGCCACGTGCTCCGCCTCGGACTGAGTGGACACCTCCAACAGGTAGGATACTCTGACAAAAAGCTCTAATCACTCTGACTCTGGCCATAAGGGGTATTTAATAGCACTCGGTTTCAGATAACACTTAACGGTTACAATCGTTGACATTTGGCACTGTCTACATTACAACAGCATTGGGGACTCGGTCACGAGGTTAAAAGTCGGCGTCCCTGTAACCGTGTAAGACCAGGGGCAGCCTGGCTACCCTGCACCGTACGGCCACGGCGGGGTGAGGGGTCCCGCTGCGCTGCCCAGTGCAGCGAGCCTGGAGACAGGGCTGGGCTGCTGGGAGCAGCCACGGTGCTCCTCTGCTCCCGCAGCGCCCGTCAGCGCTCCCGGAGCCCGCTCACCTCTCACCGCACCGTGCCCGCACACCGCGGGCACAACCCTCCACGGCCTTGTGGCTGTACTCGGGCCCTCATGGACAGAATTGTGTTTCCCAGGGTACAGAAGATGCGTCATCAAGTGAACTACTAACCCCCTCATGATCACACTAACTCATGAGATTTACTTTTAATATAATCACAGTATTAAATGTTTAAAAAACCAACCAACAAACCAACCCATGCTTGTTGATATCAATACATTATTAAATTAAGCAACCGCTCCTACATCATCAGCTGACGATGTCCCTACTGTGAAACTGCAGGGTTAAAAAATGAAAAAGAATAAAAGCATCATCAGACTGAGTTATGCTCCCTGCTGTATAGGTTTTGATACCAATCATACCTGAGAGCACCGTTCTAAAAGGGCCTTTGGCAGCTGTCAGCAAGTGAAGCTGCTTGGTCACAGAGACTGGTGCAACAAAGCTTTTGTTCACTTGCTTACCACCAAAACGAACAAACAAAAAAATCCCTGCAAATTTAAAGAAACTTTTGATCTCCAGGGTGGTTTTTTTTTTTCTTTTAATCCCACACAATATTCTGTAAGCCTCCTAAAATCTACAGGCATCATTTTAAAAAATAAAAGTATCCCCAAACCGAGCAGTGTGGATTTTAGCCCAACTTTGAACTAGTTACCACATCCTTAGGCTACTGAGCAATCCATCAGAGGTGCAGACATCCTGGGTGCTCTCCTGCCTCATACCACAGATTGGAAAGGCGATGGAACCATCTCATCTTAAATTTCAAATTTTGATCTCCAGCATTTCCTACAGTCATAGATAAGTTACTTGTGGTAACGTAACACATTTTCAGACAGCCAGACATCTTTCTCTCTTTTTTTTTCTTGTAAGCCTGCAAACAAGTCTCAACTTTAGCAAAAAAAGTTCGCCGTTCGTCTTTCAGTAAAAGATTTCAGATAGTGCAACATGATTGACTCTGCAAACAGGCACCGACAGTTCACCAAAACCCTTCGTGCCCTCTATTTGTCATCTACATCTAATACAGGCCCAAGCGGGTTCGCCCCTTAAATGACTTTTTTTTTTTCCTCCTGCTTCTTTTTTTCTTTTTTTTTTTTTCCCTTTTATAAAAACAGGGAACGTCAAGCCTCATTTTTTGTTTTACCCAGGAACATCCACCTGACTGAGACATGTAGTGGGTGCTCTCAAACCTCACAGAATTGAATACGGAGTTGACTCCTTAGTAGCAAACTTTTTGCCAAGTATTAACTGTAATTTTTTTGTTGTGTATAAAACCCACTTCTATTCTTGATCAGGATTTGCTTCCTTGGTAGCTGGCTTCCTGGGAAGCTTCTATCCTCAAATAGAGAACCAAGAGGAACACATCCAGACTCGAATTTATGAAATAAAAGGCAAACAGGACCAAAAAAAAAAAAGCTACAGAACCAACCTTTCAGTCTCTCATACAGCACAAAGAAGAACCCCCTTCCCCCTCCCACCTTGCAGGACACGTATAAAGAGATGGAGGAGGAGCGGGAGGTTGGGGTCTGAGAAACTTAAATGGGTTGGGACCATCACCTTCCAGCTCCTGCCAGCACAGGGAACCAGCCCTTCCTGGGCCGTAAAAACTAGGATACCGCACAAGTTTAGAAATCCATCAGTGAACAAGGCTTTACTGACAACTTTTCGTACAGTTAAAAAATAAAAATACAGAACAACAGCGGACAGTGTCACATATTAAAAACGAATAAAATGGGCTCTATTTAAATGGCATTAAAATTAATTAGAAACTAAAAATCTTACCACTTTGGTCGAGGTGTTTTGAGCCTCCACCAAAATGATCGGCCTTAAAAACAACTGGGCTGTGTGACACACAAAGAAAACATGGAATTTGAAAAGACAGTGTGGGCTAGGCAGTGTCTTTGACTATAACTATCACCATATGTTCTTCTTCTAACTTTCCCAATGTCCTTAGTGCTGACTGGAGGTACTGCTGAGAGAATTCACACGGAGGGAAGGCGTAAAGCATGCCTGTGCTGTCTCTGCCCTTCGCCCCTCCCACGGGCAGGCTGATAACCCCAGCAGCCTGCTTCTGTTTCAAGTAGGAGACCAGATTCCTGAGAAGCCGTCGCTGCAAGCCGGGCTCTACAACAGGGAAGGTCCCCTCCGCCCCCGCCCCTGCCCCTGCCGGGGCAGACTGGGTCGCCAGGAGCACGGCGTAGCCGTTGGGGCTGCCTTGTTTGATACGGCGAGTTACTTCATCCAGCTTGGGCTGGTGGAGCCGAAGTCTCTGGGCAATTTTGAGCTGCGTTAACTTCCCGCCGGACGAATGGTCTTTGAGGAGCCCGTTGATGACACCGAGGTCTCCCTCCAGGATGTGCATAGAGGTGGGGAAGCAGCTGTTTTTTAGCACGAGAAGCCCGTTCCAAGCAAGCTGCAGCGTCTGAGCGTATTCCGATAAATTCTTTAGCTTTTTGGTCTCGGATTTTGGCTCCTCGTGAGCTTTTGATTCTGATTCACCAGTTCGATGATTGCGTTCGCTGTCCCTTTTTTTGGGCTGGGGAGCATCGGATGCCTCACGATGGGGCTTCTCCTCAGTCGCATGACGATTGTTCTGGAGGGAGTTGCTCTGCTCTTTCTCGGCTCCGGATTCTGTAGTGTGATTCTCCTTGCGAGCCCTGTCTGGGCTGCGGTCTAAAGCTGGCCCACTGGCCTTTGTCCTGCTTCTGTCCTCGTAAGGCGAGTGAGTAGTCCTCCCGCGGTCACTGGAAAGACTCCGGCGTTTCCGCCTCTCTTCCCACGGTTTGGGCACGCCGCGATCGCTGTCGCTGCCCCAGCGCTCTCCGCTCCGGCTACGCACCGATCGGCTGTAGCTTTCCAAGTTGTTTCTGCGTTCGGCGTTTTTGGCAGGGCTGGCCCAGTCTGCCTCTGCAAAGCTCCTGTCTCTGTCCGAGTACAGGAGATGCGGAGGAGTCCTATCTCGCACCCTCAAGTCTTGCTCTAGGCTTCTGTGTCTGCTGTACCCGTCAGCCAGCAGTTCGTAGTGCACGGGCAGCGGTGCGGGCTGGTACTGCTGCGGGTATCTTGTCTCTTCCGCTTTGGCAAAATCCACTCGGAGTCTCCTCTCTGGTCCGCCCAAAGGAAAGCCCCTCATCTGCGCGCAGGCAGCCTGGGCAGCATCCAGGCTTTCGTACTGGATATAAGCGAAGCTGTCTCCCTTCACGTAGTCAATAGTCCTGATGCTGCCGAAGCGGTCGAACTCCCTTGCCAGGGCAGCCAGGGAAGTACTCGGACCAAGACCACCCACCCACAGCCTGGTAGTAGGGTTGGCTTTCCCGTAGCCAAGGTTCCTGCCGACAACGCGGCCCGACATGGCGACCTTGGCCCGATGCGCCATGTCCAAGTTTTGGAACTTGAGGAAAGCATAAGCCCCGCCCTGGCCCCGGGCCGGGCGCTTGATCACCACTTCTTCGATGATGCCGTACTTCTCGAAGGCACGTCTCAGCTCCACCTCCGAGACGTTGTGGTCCAGGTTG